GGTTTCTTACATCTAGTTTTTTTCTGATTGGTCGTTGGCCAATGGTCATATCTATCCGTCCTAATTTCTTTTGGTGGTGCCATTTCTTTTTGTTTTGTACCTAATTTTCCTTTTTTTATTWTACCTATAAGAATACGATCGTTATTTATGAGGTCATAATAAAACATATATTATATTTACTTATTCACAAAAATAAATACCTGTTTCGATATCATTCGATGGGCGTCCTCGTTTTGGCGTATTATTTTCACCAAGTTTGCACAAACTTAAGGCAAGTTGTTCTCTAAATTCTAATAGTGGCAAAATATTATCGTTCTCTGATTTTTGTTTTTGGATTCGTTTGTGTAATAGCCAAGAATTTACGATGGTGACGTCTAGTAAGTGATGAAATAATCGCATATACCACTTGCGACTTCGCATTTKAATTTTGTGCCTTCCTAGTAAACYATCCAGTAAGTCGACACCTCCCATGTGAGTATTGTATACTTTTATAATATRAGGACAGTCCACTTCTACTYTTTTATTCAATTTTCTATCGTATCTACTAACTTTCGTAACAGGCTCAATAGCAGCAAAAGTTGACAATAAATTTACATTTTTCGTGTCTTTCCATGTAATCGCGACTATATCTGTACTTCTAATATTAGTGACACAATGATCATATGTTCCTCTGGGTTTTTTCAGCATAATTGAATCATCGGGCAACATTACATTCTTGAGYCTATTTCTTCGTACAGTACCGAGGGAGAGTATATTTTCTTTTTTCAAATAAACTAATAGCGGTAAGGTTGTGTAATAGTTATCAAAAAACAATTTATAATTTTGACGTTTAGGTATAATTCTTGCTAGACGAACTACAACATTAGCGCTGGAACCTAAATCTGGTTCATTTATATTTCGTAACTCTGAATTGTTTTCTTGGCCGGTAAAAAGTTCAAAATTATAAGCGAAACCGGAAGCACCACTAAGAACGAACAATTTATAGCCCCACTTATGTGGCTTGTTAGGCATATAAACTTTGACCGARCTTCTAGCTTTGGTGCTACACATTTGCTCGTCAACAGCTAAATGTTCTTCTAACGGAACACGACTAAAACTGTTTTTTAAAGTTTCTATAATAGGTCTTATTTTGTGAGTTTTATCACGATTTGGTCCACGGGTCTCAAGTGTATTATCATTAAAATGTAAATTACTTCTAATTTTTTCAAAAATATTTAGGCTCATTGTGTCTTTGATAACTTGATTGCCCAAGTATGGTGCCCAATATTTTCTAACGTTTGAAATATTTACTATACTCATTAGAACAAGTACCCCAATATATTTTTGTAAATCATCTATAGACAATTTTAACGGATTAGAAAAACTGTTTTGTAGACCATATTTATAAGTTTCATCACAAATATGTTGCATCAAGTCTACAGTAAAAAGATATTTAAAAATTTGAAAAGGTGTCTCTAATTCCATAATATCTTCTGCTAAAGTTGAGTTTCCGAAAAAATTAGTATCTACAGGTGGAAAATTATCTTTTGACCATGTTATATCTTTTATTTCAATCGRAATATGATTTTGAATAATAGGTGGTACAGGATTATTACGTTTAGATCGATGACATTTTTTTTTGGAACGTTGTAATGTACACGTTATTTGTTGAACATAAGATGTAGWGGGCAACAATAAATCAGTGGTATTAGTTTCAATAGCTGAAGTTTGAGGCTCGAAAATTGGAAGTTCAACTTTATCATCAAGAATTGTCTCAGTACTAAATTGTTCGGATAAAAGTTTTTCAAATTCCTCAATATTTGGTTCATCTAATAAATTTGCATACTCATTCCATAAATCAACCTTATCATTTTCAACGTCACTCTCAATCTCAAACCCATCTTCTGAGCCGGAAGGTATATCAAGTAAATGAATAATTTCTTCATCAACTATTTTTTTGTTCATGGTGGATAATAAGGAACTACCTATAATACTAAATAACTTACAAGTTACAACATACAACTTACTACTAAGGAACTAGGAACTATCTTCTTTTGTTCACTGTGTTCTAATTTCGTTGTTCGTTTAAAAAAAACGTATGTRAAATAAATTGATAGRACAATTTATGTGATTACGAATTACGATAAGATGCCCTGAATGCATAGTGTTGCTCTCTGGCAACAATGTCAAAAACAGGTATTTTTCAATAATCCGAATTGACAACTGTTCCACAACCAAACCATCGAGTCAATTACAGTGTAGCCAACATAAAAATATTTTTTTTAATG